GTTCAAGTCTAAAGCTCAATTTGAACACAAGTTTCGTCTACGAATGCATCGCGAAGCTTTCCAAAAAGGAGACTTAGTCCTTGTACGCAATACAAGGATTGAGAAAGAACTCAATCGCAAAACCAAACCCCGTTATCTAGGCCCTTTTGTTGTAGAAAGACAAACCAAGGGTGGATCTTATGTCTTAAGAGAAATGAATGGTGTCTTATCTAAACGTGGTGTAGCTGCATTTAGACTTGTACCATATATCTCTAGAGATTTATCATTATTACCATCACTAGCAGATCCCCTTGAAGAGGAAGATGATGACATATGCCTGTCAAGTGCCAATGTATCAACAGAAGATGAGTCAGTCATAGAAAGTGATTGCCACATTTGGTGCCCATATCCCATTTCATTATTTTATGTATTCACCACTATTATGCATGATTGAGCACACAACTGGGGACAGTTGTGATTTCACTGCCCCGCGGATGTCCTGCATGATTTGGGAATCATGCATGGACATGACTACTAGGTATCCCCCTAAAAGACAAAGTCTGTTAGCTTAGTCCTCAGACTAGTCAACCCATACCTTGGTATCAAACCTTGGTCCAATAGTTTCAGTTTTCCCTCAGTGATTCATGAATCCACCATGTTTTGAAGAAAAGTCATATGTGAGATGGGAATCACATAATGACCTAGTTGATATGAGAAGCAAAATGAAGGTTAAGGTATTGCCTTTCCTTTGGCTTATTCACTTTGGCTAGAGAAACCCATAGAGAAAAGTTCAAAGCCTAACAAAAACCTATCTAAAAAGCCCGCGTATTGTGTACTATTATTTGTTCTATTATTTCTGAGTTGTTTTCTCTAGTGTTTCTTTACTTTACTTTTCTATTAGGATGCTCTGACTAATCAGATGCTTCATAAAATTGTACCTACAGGGTATGATGTCATAATGATGTCATAGGACTTCACCTACACTCCTGCAGGTATTTTGGTTGAAAGATATGATATCATAGTGATGTCATAATGATGTCATGTTCCATGGAATTTGCTAGAACATTCCAATGACTCATAATGACTCATAGTGACTCATAGTGACTCAGAATGATGTCATTATCCCACCATGAATATTCTGGAATGTTCTTTTGCACCTGCTAGAACATTCTGCTCCAGTTTTTGGAATATTCTTCCCACATTCTGAAGTCATTACATCACCTTTTTACTTACATAATATTCCCACACAAAATGTATATAAGGAGAGCCCATTCTCCCCCAAAAAATAGATCTCCCACTTGTTGCATTCAAGAACTCCCACTTGAGCAAATTGAACTCTCACCTAAGAAGCTTCAGTCTGAACAAATTGCTGCTTACAAAGCCCATTTCCTTTGTAAGAACTGTCCAGGCAAGTGCAGGGAAAGTGTTTCCCTTGAGATTACGTAAGTTTCTCGCAATAGAAACCCAGTTTTGTGAGACCAGTGTTCTCACCACGTAGTGTTTACTGACCAACACGAGCTTTGGTCACCGTTGTTATTTGTGAGACCAGCGTTCTCACCAGGTATTTGTATACTGACCAACACGAGCTTTGGTCATTGTTGTTATTTGTCATTGTTTTCTATTTGTCATTTGTTGTTATTTGTGAGACCAGCGTTCTCACCAGGTATTTGTATATTGACCAACACGAGCTTTGGTCCACGTAGTCACATTTGAGACCAGCTTCTCAACAGTTAACCGTATATTCAGGAAACCAGTTTCAAGTGTCTAGACGGTATATCCTAGACAATCCCATAGTTTCAATCAGAGATAATAAAGCTCCGGCTAAGTTAATCTGACTGATTGGTTTAGCGAGCCTCCCAAGAACTCACACGTTATCTACCACGAAAGAAGAAAAGTCGTAGACCGTGTTAATCGAGGACTGGCAAGAAGTCTTATCCAGTGTAATTGTGGTGTCATTACATTCTTACACGTTTTCATATAAGACCCTCGGTTATTAAGACAACGTGGCGCAGGACCACCACGCAATTCCATGGTCGTTCGCTCTAATCGGCAAGAGACCCAGGTGTGCACAGACCTCAAGAGTGAGGCCATGGCAGATGCAGATGACCTGCCAGAGTGCAAGTCAGCTCGTCAAACTCCAGAGGTGTAATTGCTGAAGGTACTCGCGCAGCTTAGTTATGGTCTCGTTTCTTGCTTCCTCTGCTAAAGGCACTCGCGCAGCTTACTTAAGGTCTCGTTTCTTGCTTCCTCTGCTAAAGGCACTCGCGCAGCTTACTTATGGTCTTGTGTCTTGATTCCTCTGCTAAAGGCACTCGCGCAGCTTACTTACAGTCTCGTTTCTTGCTTTTTCTGCTAAAGGCACTCGCGCAGCTCACTTACAGTCTCGTTTCTTGCTTTTTTCTGCTAAAGGCACTCGCACAGCTTACTTACAGTCTCATTTCTTGCTTTTTCCGCTAAAGGCACTCGCGCAGCTTATTTACAGTCTCATTTCTTGCTCTTTCTGCTGAAGGCACTCACGCAGCTTATATGGATAGATACATAGAAGTCACCAGCTCTTTACTCATACTCTAGCGTGACATGGAAACGTGCTACTCGATCTTTCTGCCTCTGCTCCGAAAACAACATGTTCTCAAAATCTCTCCAGACTGCAATATCATCATCCATCTCCTGCCAATGTTTGAGGTACACCGTCCGTATTTGATTGATACCAACACGTATTGCACGCAGATTGTGCAATCGCACACAAATCTCAATGAGATTGCCTCGGGAGTCTTTGTCGCCGATTTCAAGCGGTACACGCAATCTTCCTAAAGCGCCTTGAAGGCCACGCATGCCCCATTCAGCAGTCTGCCGGTAGGAAAGAAGTTCACGATTGAATGCCATCTGTTCATCGATCTCAGCAAGTGAGCCTTGAATACGCTGGCCTTGTTTGAGTGGTGCACGGATTCGGCCCTGGATGTTATTACTGCCACGCGGGGAACGCCGTGTCGGCAACAACATAATAACCTGGGGGAGTATCGTTTCGAAGGGAGGCATAGATTTGATGAGTGACACGTGAGTCATGCCAACTGCCCGGGGCATTCAACCGGGCAGCAATAATCACCCCTGTAACATGGTTAACCAGGACTATAGCGAGTCTGCATTGAACTTACCTTCAGCCGAAAAGGCTAATACAGAACTGATAAAGTGCTCCGAGAGCCACCCGTTAAACGTTGCATTCTCAATGTCAACGTCATCAGACGTTTGCACAGGTAATTTGAGGCCATTGATACTGCCAAATGCTCCTCTCAGTCTCCCGTGACGTGCTACAACAAGTTCACTGCAGCGCTCGAAATCTAGGCCTCCTGGCCATTGAATTTTGGCATCCGGGATGGTGCGAAGGGTGGATAGCAGAAGCTCGAGGCTGAAGCTGAGATACCGAGTGACAGTACTGGGTATGATAGCGAAGATCTGCTGTAGGCTGATAGCATGCATAGTGGAGCTGAGATAATGCAGCACGAGCCCAAGTGCCCCCGCAGCATCAAGGGAGCGCTGATTCGTCCGTGGATTTCCTTGTGTATGGATGTCATCACGAGGAATTGGTGTCTCATACCAGCATTGAGCAAAGCCTGTAGTAAGTAGTGAAGAGAAGGTGGACGCATCCACACCCATTGTAGTGATGAAGGCTTGATCATTCTGGCTATCATATAGTACCTGCCATGGGGTGTCGATGCGAGGATTTGGAAGTAGTTGGGGTCGGCAAAGATATAAACGATGAGGGTGCCGAGTGTCAATGCGGTCTTGTCGTGATACCTCGCTCCCAGCAATGATAGCAGCAGCCAGGATTTGAGCTCTTTCATCGTCATCGCAAAGGTCTGCCTCATCTTCGTCAAGAAGCAGGTACTGGACTGTAAGGTCGTCCATCACATCAAGAACTGGACTAAATCTATTGGCTGAGCGCACGGGGGATTATCCTAGTATAGATTAACATATCTTCGTCATTGGAAATGTTTTTGAGACTCCGAGATATTCTATTCGGCATTATTTTGCCCACGGAAAGTCATCCAGTGAGCTCATTTCTAGCTTAAATTGTGCATTGACGATCCAGTGCATAAATCTTCTTTGGCAACTTGGCTGTTGCCGATGGCCGAACTGGAGAGTTCTTGTATATCAACTTCAGCAATCACGCGGTATCCAGTTTGTTCCGATATCTCACACCTAACAGTGATTCACGTGTCATTCAAGTTGTTGGACATTCACGACGATGGCTGACGAGTCAGGTACCTCCCTGGGCTGGATGTTTGATTGATGTATCAGGCTCTGTTGGGGACGCGTTCGCGATCGAAACCAGTGCTACATTTTATCAATGCTATCTGGAATATGGAGTCCCGAGTTATGACAGCAATATTCATGTTCCGACAGTGGCCTAGAAGTTCCTGGACGTCAGGCTAAGTCAGGCCGCCGTGTCATCCAAGTTCATGGTACGTACCGAGGGTCAGGTAGACTTTTAAAGCATAAGACACGTTTTTCTGATGCAGATGACGAGCCTCGTGGCGCGACCTAAATTTTAGCTAGCAACTCTGAGAGTCTGTTTAGGTTGCCCTGTGGAGTTGTTTGAATGTCTCGCGAGGTGTGCTAATCGTGTCAACCTATAAGGGTGATGACGGAGAGCCATCACAGCAATGTCTTCTAATCTTGATGATTGGTTATTCACGGGCGGGTCCCATCCTACGCCAGGTATGACCGTGCGAGCTCACTCGTTCGTGGGAGTGTATTCAGTAACTCAAGTACTCACGATCTAACTACATCTTTCCACGAGACTCTTCCAATAACAGAACTGCGTCTCCATAGTTGGACAACCAACTAACCTTATTTGTGTTACCTGGTTTTATTCGCAGCGCAATTGGAAGATATGGGTGACAGGGGTTTCAGTCAGTAAGCCATTTGGCTGACCAAGTATCACCATTGTGGACTATTCTCGTGCATACAACATTACACAGCTGAGTCCTAATGGGTGCACAACGGAGGGCTCGAACCATTCTCGGAGCACAGTGGAGCACCTGATCATCCCCACGCATTCGTAAGACGGTTCCCAGCGGCGGGTACTTATAATCCACTCTCTATCTCGAATAATGTCCCCATCTTTCTCTTGAGCATTCATCATCTCTCGATCATGCCCTCCCCGCAAGTCTTCGCTGCTACAGATGGCGCAGTGTACACAACCTCTAATGGTGCAGCCGTAGCGCATCCCCTTGCTGCTGAACGTGTTGGTCCTGTGGGACCCCTCCTCCTTCAGGGTTGGTTCACTCAGCCAATATAGATTTTTTATGCTGACCCACATATTAGACTTCCACCACATCGATCTTCTTGCTCATTTTGACCGGGAACGGATCCCTGAGCGTGTGGTAAGCGCGACACTCAAATGAATAGGCTTTCATATCCATCATATGCTAGGTGCACGCCAAAGGCGCTGGTGCTCACGGCTATTTCGAGACGACCCACGATCTCAGTGACATCACCTCTTGCAAACTATTCACAAACGTTGGCAAGCAAGTTCGACTAACCGCCCGTTTCTCCACTGTCGGTGGGGAAAGTGGTTCCGCTGACACGGCTCGCGATCCCCGTGGTTTCGCTCCTGAAATTGAGAACGGAGGAGGGTAACCTAGACTGGGTCTTCAACAACACACCTGTGTTCTTCATCAGAGATCCCGCCAAGTTCCCGCCCTTCATTCACACCCAGAAGCGTGACCCCCAGACGCACCTTAAAGATCCAGACGCATTCTGGGTAAGATCTACTTCACTTTGAAAGCGTCCAAATCGAAACATTTTTCCTCATAGGATTACCTGTCTCAAACCCGGAATCGGCGCATCAAGTCATGATACTGTTTTCCGACCGCGGGATACCCGACGGTTACCACAACATGCACGGCTATTCTGGCCATACCTTCAAGCTCGTGAAAGATGACGGCTCGTGGGTCTACACCCAAATTCACTGTATTGCTGATGGCGGCTGCAAGGTTTGTATGCCCTTTTAATGTCACGGTTTGTTGACAATGCATTGCATAGGTCCTCGATACTGCCACGGCTCGTGATTTGTCGGCAGACAACCCCGATCACGGTATTCAATCGTTGTTCGAAACCATAGACGCTGGTAACTTCCCGTCCTGGACCGTCTACGTTGTCAGTGATTTATCGTTTATGCCTCCAATTTCAATAGCTAACCTCCAATTCAGCAAACTATGACTCCAGAGCAGGCAGAAAAACTTCCGTTACAACGTCCTGGACTTGACCAAAGTTTGGCCCCACAAGGACTACCCCTTGCGCCCCGTAGGAAAATTCGTGCTCAACGAGAACCCGCAAAACTACTTCGCTGAAATTGAACAGGTGACGGGAATTTGTTTTATTCCGCCATGATTTGGGCTGACCGACATTTAAATAACTATCAAATAGGCTGCTTTTGCGCCCAGCCATTTGGTTCCCTACTTCGAGGCCTCTGCTGACCCCGTACTTCAGTCACGACTGTTCTCGTACCCTGACACTCACCGTCACCAGGCTTGGCACCAAATTACCACCAGATCCCTGTCAATGCGCCCATTATCTCTGTTGCCAACTTCCAACGCGATGGTGCTATGGCATTCAACAACCAGGGAGCACGCCCGAATTATCAGAGTTTCTATTACACCCTTGACATACTTGAGCAACAAGGGATCTATCAGGGCACACCCAGAGACTATGAGCGAGCCAAACAACATGAAAGCTGGGTTGGTGGAGCATTCTGGGACTTGAGCGAGATCACCGAACGTAGGAGGCTAAAACACAATTTGTTGGACTTCAGTGACAATGACAATTTTTCTAGTTGACTTCGAGCAACCGCGTGCACTCTACCAAAATGTCATGGATGACGCAGCCAGGGCGCGCCTGGTTTCCAACGTTGCTGGCCACCTTGGTGGTGCCAAAAGCGCTGAGGTTAAGGCCCGGACTCGTACGTTCAAATCTGATCTCCAGATATTTTTACTCAACTGAAGATTAATCCAGTTTCTTACTTTGCATCTGTGGACCAATCTTTGTCTGACCGCATTGCTAAGGCTATCGGTGCCCCCACTGCAAAGCCTTTGGCTGTCAAACCTGCGTCCGAGGCAGTTCGCTTCAGGCATGGTGTCGGTGCTGCGCTGTAATTTGTAAACGTCAAGGAATTTATTGTAGCAACCATGGAAACAAGCTATCACGTGTATTGTTTTAGTAGAATAAAATATTGGTGTCGCTATCCGCAGGACGAGAATTTGGCGACCTGCACAAACGATATATCTGCAATAGCCAGAATACGGAGGGTGCTGCATCTCACTGTCATAGACAACGAGCAAAGGACACTTTATTGAAGTCTTCTGTAATGCAGAACTAGGCATGGACCAGTCCTGACCATATATCTATTCAGAGATCTGGATGGTAGGTTGGCGAGAAAAAATATTTTCTAGCAACCCTCCGAGTCACTATGACGCCAGACGGCGGATGTAGGTGCTATATGTTCCAAGTGTTCTGGCTCATCAACATGACAGACGTACATGAAATTGCGCATCCTGAGGAAAGTGAGGGTTGGTCCAACATAGATCCTACAGGTACAGGGAAGAACAAAAAATAACGGAATTAGGGCGTTCTAGCATCTCAGATGCCTTCTGAAATTTTTCCTGGAGTTCCAAGTTGCCAATGACTTGGGCGGCCTGAGCCATTTGACGAAGTAATTCACCAAGGCGCCTGAAGACGCGTATCAGGTTTCCCTCGAATTGATCGGTCAACTGTGTTCGCTCAATAGATCAGTAAGTTCATGATGAACGGTAGGGTCAACAAACTTTGCAAATGTCAGAAAACGAAGCTCCTCTACACCACTGGAAAACGGCGTCCATTAATTCGACTTTGAAAGACGCAACATATTCTTCCTCAACCAATGGTAATTTTGATTCCTGCGACACCTTTGCTATTCGGCGCGCGATTTCTTGCATGACACGTAATGGCGCTGCTAACTCTTCCGTGAGCTTGGTCACATGTTCACTCTGAAATCAAGACGTTAGCTAATTCATTCAGACCGAAATCATCCCGGATACCTTTTCTGTGAAAACAAAGCAGCTAAGTAGACTGGCACATTGCTCAGGGAGTAGGGAGTTGAAAACGCCATTGAAGATAAGTTCAGTAAGAAGAAGCTCATCCCCAGTGCTTGATTTCGCAAGCTACGCGACCCTTCAGCTCCGCGATATCAGATGAATTCGTGCACTCAAGTCGACGGAGTACTCGTTTCCCGGTATTTCAACTCCTCGAGTTGCAACACATCGTGGGTTGCCATAATACGCTTCTTCAGATCTCGTATCTTCGTTTGCGCCTCCTGCTTTTGAGCGTATAGTGTGTATAGTTCTGGGAGACGAGGATCATTGTGCAATGGATTTGAGAACATTCTTTGCTCCATGACGTCAATTTTCTGCCCGCAATATTGAATTTCACGCAATACATTGGGAATGACAATGACTTACATTGACCAGGGCTGTGAACTTTTCGTCTTTGATGTCCATGTTTTGCACAGGATCGAGAAGGGCAATGCCATCCGGAAATCTGCGTTGCACTTCGAGAACGCTCTTCCAGACAGTATCCCGCGCTTGATCTTGTCGAAGATCTTTTGGTAGAAAAACACGGATGTGGCTGATCGCGTCTACGGTTGAAAGGAAAATGGGCACTACGAGCGGCGAGCCTTTATTGCCAGGGAAACAAGGGAGTATCCCCCTGGTGTGGGTGTGGATATCGTTTTGTCTTTCGGTAGGGTAGCGCCATCGTTGCAGTTCAATAGCACATCGAGGACATATTGCTCGTGGGGAGGGACATCCGCTAGCTGATGTTCTTGCCACGTCTAAAGAAGAATGAGTATCTAATTAACTTTGTCCGACGATGATAATGACCTTTGGTGGCAAACGCTTCTGGTAATTTACGACCACGGCCCCACCCAAAGTCAAGGTCTTTATACTTCACCTTGATCAAGCGACCGGGTTGCAGGAACGGAAGCGAATAGTTGGGATGGGTAATTACTTCGCGAAAATCCGCTGCCATGCGATCTAGTTGTTGACGATAATCGTAATAGGTAGCAACGATGTTTTCGTCGGAATAGCGATAGCGTCTCGCCGTTTTTCCTCCTTCTGCAGCTCTAAGCGGGCATTAGTGGTTTCACAACACATATCCAAGACGCTCACCATCTTCCAGGACAGGAATCCCAGCGCTGCTCTGGAACTGGAAAAAGCATCGCTCGAGCATGTACTCAGGGCTAATGCCTTCAACCTTGAGTAAGTTCAAAATCATGTTATAACCGAGGTGGAAGGCAGAATCTAGCCGGTCAGCCTCTCCCTTGATCATGTCTTTGGCGGCTGATGGCTCTAGCTTTTCGTCGCACATCATGATGACAACGCCTCGATCGTCAAGACCACGTCTACCTGCACGGCCAGACATTTGAATGTACTCTCCTGAAGAAAGGTTTCGGAATTCTCTTCCATCGAATTTGCGGGCGGCAGTAAAGACTACTGTTTTCGCAGGCATATTGAGTCCAATAGAAAAGGTCTCCGTGGCAAATAGAACCTTTATAAGGCCTTCTTGGAAGAGGATCTCAATGACTTCCTTGAGAATAGGTAGCAAGCCGCCATGATGTATCCCAATACCCCGCTTGAGCAACGGAAGGATATTGGATATTTGGGAGAGATTCCGATCCTCTGCTGAGAGATTTCGATGGCGTTCTGAAAAATATTCGAAACAAGTTCCTGTTCATCTGTGGAATTGAATTCGAATTTAGACATAGTAAGCGCAAGAGCCTCGCACTCTCGCTTGCTGAAAGCGAAAACAATGACAGGATTATAGTTCTTGAGCATGATCATTTTGATGATTTTGGAAATATCGGATTGTCCTGGTGATGATTAAGCGGATGGTGAGATACAGACAAATCAGATACCTTTCTTTTCGCCTCCTTTTTTCGTCTTGCCTTTACGACCTTTTCCGCTGCGCGGGTCGGCAGGGTCCTCCCCGGTTTTGTCTTGAAGTGTACCCATCGCTTTGCTGAAATTGTCTTCACGAAATTCTCCTTTTTCATTGACGACAAGATAGATACCTTCGCCTCCTGCAGGAAATAGATAGTGTTGCAACGGTGTTGGACGGAAGTCGGTATAGACAACATGACACGGTTGATCATGGGATTTACAGATCCACTCAGCGAATTGCATAGCGTTCGGTATAGTGGCGGAAAGAAAAACGTAGCGAACCGTGTGGGGAAGCAGGATGATAGTTTCCTCCCAGACGACCCCACGCTCTTTGTCTCGCATGTAGTGAATTTCGTCAAAGATTACCCATGCAACTTCACGCATTATCTCGGACCCTCGATAGAGCATCGACCGTAAGATCTGCCAAAGTCTCTGAGTTGGTGAGGAGGATGATCATGAGCCACACATACCTCTGTGGTCATTACAAGGCATGTCGCGGAAGGATTTATAGTTACATCTCCGGTCATAAGACCAACGTCCCCGAATTCTGCGAGCATCTCACGATACTTTTGATTACTCAAAGCCTGTTAGACTTCCAGGTTATCCCTTCGTGATTACACACTAAGGCTGCTGCTCACCTTGATCGGACTAGTGTAAATAACACGTTGTTTATTCTGCAGGGATTGCGCGATAGCGTATTCTGCGACGACCGTTTTTTCCAGCACTCGTATGTGCCGAAACCAAAACACTTTCGTTACGCCTGGATGGCGAATACCGAGACTTGCTGAAATGGATCGAGAGTGAACTTGTATTCCCTTGCCGGTTTTTGGGGAGGGACATGTTGCGCGATAGGCACATAGTGATATCCTGGTGGTATGGCAACTTGGTGGCGGACCTAGCAAAGTTATAGATCAATGCAAATTATCCGAGTGATTGGTTAATACCTGATGTCTCAGTTCCAGCCGCGAACCAGCTTCGACTGACCCCGTGAGCCCTCCACTTGCGGCCATTTCACGTTTGGCCTCGGTCTCAAACTCATCTACGACAACTGGTACAGGTGATGATACACGGGGTTTCTTGGAAGCACAACTGCCAGAAGCGTGATCACCCGGAGGATCCGTGCTTGCACGACGCTTTATTTTCTTGTCAACGTGACGCGGTTCACGGACAATTTCATCTTTGTCCTCATCCACAGAAGGCGCCCCATCGAGGAATGAGAATAAATCAGGCGTGGACATATGGAATATTGCAGTGAGCAAGTGCAGATTTCGGCGCCAGGCTTGCAGTAAGTCTGCCTAAGTACATAAGTACCTAGTTGGGGACCAGCGCGGAGTTTTAACATCCGGCAATAGCCGAAAGTGAATTTTCCTGAGTAAGATATCGGGTGTGGTATACAGATTTTGCATTGTGCAATCATGTCGCGATTCTTCAGACAAGCTGGCGATTCAGACTCTGATACAGAGGAATCCGACGAGGAGCTCCTCACTAGCGGTGATGAAGATGCCGCTGCCCCAAAAGCTGCCGCCAAACCGGCCATGTCAAGATTCCTACGCACGGCGGGAAGCGATTCTAGTAGCTCAGACTCAGAGTCATCCGATGAGGATGAAGTGAGATGTCAGATGAAGAGCCAACACAGAAGAAGAAATCCCGATTCATGCGTGGCGATTCGGATGAAGACAGTGAAGACGAGGATGTCAAACGTGTTGTAAAAAGCACCAAGGATAAGCGCTTGGAGGAAATTGAAGCTACTGGAAAGGTCATGGACAATGGGCTCAAAATCAACGACTGGGTCGCTATATCAAATGGTGAGTCTTGTCGAGCTTTTATCAGATTCACTGACTGTCGTTCTCTTAGAATTCGACAAGCTCTTGCGTCTTGTGCAGCGACAGAGTAATGCTGCAGAAACCGTTACCTCCGTTCTTTGTCAAGACCCTTCTAAGTCTAGAGAACTCCCTTAATGCTGCTCTGACGAAGGAGAAGGAGGCAAAGAAGAAGATGAACGCCACCAATGCTCGAGCGCTCAACTCCATGAAGCAGAAGGTCCGCAAAACGACTAAAGAGTTTGAAAAGGAGGTCCAGCAGTATCAGAATGTAAGTTTTTTTGGACCACTCTATTACGATCCTCACCTCTCGCAGGATCCAGAAGCATTCGAACGTGAATTTGCCGCTCATGCTCAACCTGCCGATGTTGTTGTCCCCAAACCCAAGAAGCAGAAGAAAGGTGCAGACTCTGAGAGTGACGGGGAACCGGTATTAGATGATCGGTTTACCACAGTCGGCAAAGGCGGCAAAGCTATGTCTTTCTCCGCGGACAACATCTTTAAAACTTTGAAGCTTATTCATGAGGCTCGTGGCAAGAAGGTGTGCATGTTTTTTGTTTTGTTTTTCTTCTTTTCGATTAAAAACATCATAGAACACTGACCGAGGAGAGCAAATACGGATTTTGGAGAAACTCCTAGAAGTAGCGGTCACATCATACCAACGCATCCGCATCCTTCTGGCGCTTGTTTCATCACGGTTTGACTACAATTCATCAATTACATCGTATATGCCAACTGATCTGTGGCTCTCGGCGCAACATGAAGTCGATCAGTTGATCTCAATAGTGGTCGCGGACTCGTCCTACTCTGTGCAGGAGGACACTGAAGATTATGATGAACTCGTTGAGCGCCATCCTGCAACCGAGAGTGGTGGGGTTGTTCGTATTCGTGGCAGCATCATCAGCTTTGTAGATCGACTGGACGACGAATTCACGAAGAGTCTACAAAACATCGATCCCCATGGAACAGAGTATATCGACCGTCTTAAGGATGAGAAAGTACTTTACCGTACTATCAGCCGTTCGCAAGCTTTCTATGAACAGACAAGCCAGCCGGAACCCTTGCGCGAGTGATCATGCGACGGTTGGAGCATATCTATTCCAAGGTTAGTTGAAGTCAGCTCACTGCAGTACTTTTTTGACAATGTTGGTAGCCTGATGCTGTCGTATCTGCTCTTGAGTCTTCATTGGCTTCGTCGGAGATAACTCCCAGCGTCACTCTGGCATCTTCTGCTACCACATCATCCCTGATTCACTCCCTTTGCGTTCATCTTTACAAAGCCGACAACTCCCTTCTGCGCACTCGCGCCATGCTCAGTCACATCTACCATCACGCGTTGCACAATGACTTCTACACGGCGCGAGACATGTTACTTATGTCGCATCTGCAAGAGTCAATCCATTCTGCGGACGTCGCAACGCAGATCTTGTATAATCGAACCGTTGTGCAGCTCGGGCTTTGTGCTTTCAGATGCGGGTTGATAAAAGAGGCTCAAGCGACGCTGCAAGACATCTTCACGACACACGCGCGTAAAGGGAGTTGCTCGCTCAGGGTGTCCACCAACAGCGCTTTCAACAACAACTCACGCCAGAGCAAGAGAAAGCGGAACGGTCACGTCAATTGCCATTCCATATGCATATAAACACTGAACTTCTCGAGGCGGCCTTCCTCGTATCCAGCATGCTTGTCGAAGTCCCCCTTCTTGCCAGCATTGAGTCAGAGGAGCAGAAGCGCAAGGCGATCTCAAAGCCATTCCGCCGGTTACTTGACTTTGCCGATCGCCAAGTGTTCACAGGCCCTCCTGAAAGCACACGCGATCACATCATGCAGGCGAGCAAGGCGCTGCAAGATGGCGAATGGGAGAAATGTCGTGACCTCATTCAAAGCATCAAGATATGGACTCTCATGCCTGAAGTTTCGTCAGTTAAAGAGATGCTTGCAAAGTACGTTTTGTCGTCTCACCGACAATTCCACCTCTGACCACGATGTACAGACGTATTCAAGAACAAGGACTGCGCACGTACCTTTTCACATATGCCCCTTACTACAGCACACTCTCACTGTCTCTCCTGTCGCGCACATTTTCTCTTCCACTTCGCTCCGTTACATCGATGATTTCTAAAATGATCTGGAACGAAGAGCTGTCAGCGTCTCTTGATCAGTCAACTGGTGTGGGTGGTGTTCCACCGCATTGAGCACTCACGTCCGCAGCAGCTTGCTCAGGTTATTGCGGATAAAGTCAGTGCACTTCTCGAGCAGAACGAAAAGGTCCTTGACATCAAGCTTGGCGGTAGCGGAGGATGGGGTGACAGGAGCGGTGACAAGGGTGAGAAGCGTGGTGAACAAACTCAAGAACGTAGAGGAAGAGGAGACAGGACGCGAGGAAGCCTGCGCGGTGGTCCTCGTGGACGCGGCTCGCGATTTGCCCAGGGTCTTGGTAATCAGATGACAAGAGTACGATGAACTTATCATTGTGTCAATATTATCTTTTGGAATGTCTACCGACGTGATACTTGCGAGCTTGATACTGGATAGTAGTTTCGGTGAATTCACTAGGCGAAATTCTCGGCTCTACTTCAGTGGAAGTGGGTTTCTCTGACTCTAGTCGATATGTTAAGTACCTCTACTCAGAGGATGATTCCAGAGAATGCTCCTTGTGCAATTCCAAGGCAAACGCAAGCAGAGCTACGCCGAGGCAAGGTACAGAAGGATCCTGTATGGTAGTACCCACTCAGCTGTGAACTAATCCCCAAATTTTGCTTGCCGCGTCGTTCATCGCATCTCGCCACATCTCTCCCGCACTGCCGTCTTTTGCACCTCCATGTTTTCCTTCAAGGACGTATGGAATGCCGCGATCTCCACCCCAGCTCACACCCCCAACAAGAGGGAGTTGTGCTAGGAGAGGGATCCCGAGGCGCGATGCATTAGCTAAAGTCCCAAATAGCTCATGCGCGGTGTTGCAAGAAGGACACAGGAAGGACGCTTGGTTAAGGATGAGACCTGTTATCTGCAGTTGGCAACGAATACAATGAGGGTGAGGCCAAAAGACAATATGTATAATACTTACCGGAACGGAGATCTTTTCGAACATAGAAATTCCTCTTCTTACATCTGTTAGTGCGACGTCCTGTGGAGTTGAAACGATGACTGCGCCTATTTCATTTTAGACGGCGAACAATATCTGAAGAGCTCGTGGAAGCGAACCGTCAACGACAACTAATTGTCCCAGTGTAAGAGGGACATCTCCCGTCCCTGGGGGCATATCTATGATTAGTACATCTAGCCCAGGATAGGATCCACCAGCATCCGCCAGTCAACATCGAAGAGGAGTTGCTGTACGGCTTTTTGAACCATAAGGCCGCGCCAGACAATTGCACCTTCAAATTCTGTGGAGTCAGGCGGTGGCCGAGGGACAAGGTAGCCCATGGACATGGTAGGAACGCCATGATTGATTATGGGGATGAGAGCGCCAGCTAGTAACAGAGTCACTCGGAAGCTCATGGTGTGTGCTAGAAAACGAACCCGAAGTTAAATGTGGGTCGTCCGAATGCTGGAGTCCCATCAAGGTAGGTATAGAAGGTCCAAAAAATGTCCAAGTCAAGTATGCCAACTCGTGGTCGATGAGGCAGCATTGCAAGGGAGAAAGCAAGATTTACTTCATTTGTGGTCATTCAAAAGTTCCGTTCAGTTATTGTTGAGACATACCTGCTATTGTGCTCTTGCCCACCCCCCCCTTTCCGCTTGCTACAACGATTACCTTCTTTACGTGCTCAATACGTCGTTTTTGGATTGGCCCGCCGCGTCGGGGCATTTGGGGTGCAGAGGGGCGGACGAAATGGGGAGGCCCTACTGGACGCATTGTCAGATACGCAACATGAAGCTCTTCAACTTACCAAAGGATTTTCATGGCTTCGGCTTGCAGTCGACGTGAAGGTGCGCAGAGCCGTACCACAGCACCGTACTAATTTTAAGGTGAACATGATGAAGTACTATCTATGAATCCCAGTCAAAACCCGCAACAGGCTGAGCCACGAGAATATTTACAGAGGGAAGCCACGCTGAGCCATGTTAGACAGACTTTTTTTTTTGTTCGTTTTACCAGGTCACGTCATGTAAACTGTAACGGTGGCTGTCTGTCAGCACCCGTACAACGTCAGTTTGCCTGTTCTTTCCAATTCCTGTCAAACCTCCTAACTACGCTCATTTACTCGTTATTCTACCAGCTACTCGTGGTCCCCTTTCGGCCGAGTACTCTACTACTCATTCCTTTCCCTTATCATTCCGTTACTGTCTCTATCTAGGGATCCACATGGGTGAACCCGGTCAAACCCGCACCCGCACCCCAGGCTATAGTGTTACATTAATACATCTTATATGGGCTATTAGCCACCTATTGTTCTCACCTTTCTTACTTGATAAAGTGGTACCTAAGATGTTTACGTGCCACTACATTAGCTTAAAAAGGCCTATTTGTGAGGACCAGCATCCTAAGGGGACTTAGAGCCTTCAATATTATACTGTGGTATAGGGAGCACGTGAGCAAGTGAGTAATGTCTAAGTATGGTAGTACCACACCACCCGCCGTTGTCGTCAACAACGTGTCTCCCATGACGAGCTCACTACTGCCTCAATTTTAGTTGTTGAAGGGCGCGTTTTTTGTCATCCTCCTAAATCCACTCTTGACTAATATATAATTTATCTTTCTTCACAGCACAGATGCCAAATACAGAGCTGTATATACGGTATGTATTTTATGTCACACAGTTTTGACTATGGGTGACATATGTTACACGCCACCCTCAACCTTTCAACCACCTTCCACACATCACGCCACCCGTTCTTTAGCCTCCTTTCACCCTGTGTTAGTGATGACCAAAGGACTCTACAGCGCACCTGGCGTGTCTCAAGCAGCACGGATATCCATTGGAGGGAGGAGAAGTCAGGTGATTTGCAACAAAGATCATGCCAAGCGGGCAATGGTAGCATCCTCAGAACGTGCAGTGCAGCTCCGTAGTGCATACTTCCTACTCTTTTTCACTGTTGCCCTGCATAACTGATCATTAGAGATGAACTTGCACCAGTGGGAACACTTTTTGCAAGCAGAAATAGATGTTGCTACAGCCAAACCTTCCTCAGATCTGCCTTACGACCTCACCAAACGACAGCTTCAACCACGACTTTGATGTTTCAACAATTATCCCTCCAGTGGGTGAGGAAGGCTTCTCAGTCAGTCATGGTGGTGGAGAGCTTGAGCTTCACGAGGATCTGAGTAATGCCCTATCCTCCCAATGGTAAGCCTCATATTTTGATCAATTCTACTAGCTGTATGATGTGATAATTTAGTCCTCATATTGATGACTGCGATCAACATGACCCACACAACCCGACTAGCACTATCCTGGGCAGCCCAGTATGAGTTGCTCATTGATGCATACCTACAGTTTTGTTATGGGAACCCATCATTTGTGTCTCTCCCCACCACTATCAGCGATTCTGATGAGACCTTGGAGACATTCTCCATAGAAGTCGTTGATTTATTTGGTGAGTCATAGATTCCTTTACCTGAAACAGCACCTCATGTTCCCTTAGAACATTATCATGCTGTCTTTGCTCACTCCTCGCCTCATCTCAATGTGTCACTTATGGCACGGGGGTGCATTGGAGCATCGCCAATTCAGCCAACAGTCGCCATCACTTTATGAACTCTGGAATCCTACTGTCAGACTCACCACACATGTCCACGTGTGAGCATTCATGCCCAAGCAAAAGCATTATGTCATCTTCACAATGTAAGTCAATTATTTTTTTAAGTTTCAACATGTAATTCTTCTGAGTACAGGTCCGTTACAGTTGGTATTTAGTGGCACAGTTTCGGGTTGCCTATGATGTGTACCTTGAAATATTACGACGTGTGTCGCTTCGTGTGTCCCAAGCTCTTGGACATACAGGTCCAAATTGGCGCGCACGTAACTCTTGTCCTGCTTGTCATTACAAGGTCGAAGGTGAACCAGAACTTCGGTTTCCATTTGAGGTTGCACTGGATGGCAACAACTTGGCAAAATTTGTGGACCCTGCCCTACGTGGGGGAAGAGAGCGTTCTGACCCCTGAAATGGCCAGTCTGATATCTGGCTTGATGAAGAATATGTTGACCAATTCAAAGATGAGGTTCAGAATGCTCGCTGGTGCCACCATCATACTCCTGCTCAAACTGTGGATCCGGATGATCCATGGGTTGATTGTGAAGCCAAAGAACAAGATTCAAATGAGCCAATCAACATATGCATTGATCATTGGCACAATGCGGCCCCGGAGGCTCGTAAACAAATGTTTGCAGTCTTTTGCAAGTTGGGTATTTTGTAGCTGTATGCCGTCACAGCTTTCTTCTTTTGATATGCGATATGGTTTGCAGCAGTGAGCTGTGCGTTCTGTTCAGATTACAATATTCTGATGCTGATCTGCTGACTCAATAATTTATGCAGAATGAAATATCCACTTGTGACCATCAGCAAATTGATGGAAGTCTTTGCTGAGCCCTTCCTTTACAGCTATGACATTAAGTGTGCATTCCATTCTATTCTACATTGCTCATCGCTCAGATCTGCAGTGCAGGCTCTCAGTATTGAAGGAGTGGGTACCAGGATTTCATGGTCATGCACACAATAGACTCTGTCAAGTACGGCACCACTCGAAGTTCATGGTTGGTGCTGGGAAGGAAGATTTTGAAACTTGTGAACGAACATTTTCGGAGTCTAATGCACTCGCTCCCAAAATTAGGAATGCAACTGAATTTCACAGGCATCAAGCACTCGATGAACATTTTAAATTCGCTGACGAGGACAAATATGCTACTCTCAGTTGGTCTACGCTCCCATACTAGTACTAATATGTGCTTATGACAGTTTCTAGGTACCTTCATCTACTGCAATTACGTGCAAGCACTCGAGTGCATTCATTCCCATGAGGAGTTTCTTCAACATTTTGATTTCACCCCTCAAGATTTTGAATTGGACCTGGCTGAGGAACACAGCTACCTGGAGGTGGCTGGTCAATGCAAGTCTGGAGATAGTATACAAGTGGAATATGTGAAGGCATTGAATGACCTTGATCTAGCATGGTGAGTCTGTATTATTCTTCTAGACTTGTATTTATGTTTAATTATGTTAGAACTCAATGGGAGGCCGCCCAACATGAGTTCAATTCGCCTCGACTTACGCATTCTTGACAATGGATTTACTAATAAGGACATCACCAATGTACGCCGTCGCCATACCACAACACAGAACCGAATGGAGATGAAAGCCCAGGTTGTCGAGGATTTCAAAGCTCGCATTGGTGTTGAGGAGCAGTGGTCTCCGACCCACATGGAATGCATTAGAGCACAATCACTCATTGCCAATGCACAGTATCATAAGGCTGTTGATGATGTCGAGCACCTTGTGGTCATGCAACTTCTGGAACTTACAGTGGCTCAAAAAAACTGTCCGCATGTTTTGACATTTTTCACTATCTATGATATTGTGTGAGAATGAACAAATTCCTCAAGGACATTACTTATACCACATTGTAGTATGGCTTCAGGGCTTTTATTTGAGCCCTACACCGTGGGAATCGGCGGAGATATGGTGGAGATATAAGGCTTATAAAATGATGACTCATGTGGACAGTTTTTTTGAGTGTATATTAAAACTTTATAAATCATTATTTATGACACCATAAAAATCATGCCACTATTATATAAATTATAAAGTGGTGTCATCTATGTTATTTTATGACTATATCTAACTATATAAACCAGAATATCTCATGTATCATAGTCATAATCACCATGAAAGCCATCTCCTCTGCTCAAAGAGATAATATCCTCTCTCTGTCTTATGCTGGCCTCTTGCTCGCCAAATTTCCTCTAGAACTGGAATATGCAAGTCCACTGTGGCCAAGTTCATCAAAGAAAGCCACCCAGACAAGGAAAACTCTTGTGGAGGACGTCCATCCAAGCTTACCTCTACTGACAAAAGGGCTATTATCCAACATATCACTACAGGAAAGGCTGATAATGCTGTCCAAGCCACCCATTATATCAATTCCACCATCACTACCCCTGTCTCTTCACAAACTGTGAGGAATGTTCTCAAGGCAGCTCATCTCAAGGCAGTAAAGAAGTAACAAGCAAAAAGCCTCTTCTCTCCATCAAACATAGCAGAGAAGACTAGCCTTTGCCTTAGCTCATCAACACTGGACTGTAGAGGACTGGAAGCTGTTATATGGTCAGATGAGACCAAAAATCAATAGGATTGGGTCACGATGGGAAGGTGTAATGTATGGAAAAGAAGGGCGATGGCCTAACAGACAGAGAGGTTAATGGGACTGTCAAGTTTGGAGGAGGTTCTTTAATGGTATGGGGCTGTATGGGATGGAATGGTGTGGGAATGCTTGCTGAGGTTGAGGGGAAGATGAATGCTGAGCAGTATGTGGACATTTTAAATGACCACTTGCTGCCTAGCTTGGCAGAATCAGGGATGATGAAGAAGATATCATTTTCCAACAGGATAATGATCCCAAGCACACATCCAGAAGAGCTAGGGAATGGTTTGAAGAACATAACATCAATGTTCTTGACTGGCCAGCACAGTCTCCTGATGTCAATGTCATTGAACATCTCTGGGGAACACTCAAGAAAAAGCTTCAAGCCTATGAAAACCCCCCTAAAGGAGTATGGGAGCTTTGGGAGAGAGTAGCAGTGGAATGGGGGAAGATCACAGCTGAGGATTGCCAGAAATTAATTGAGAGTATGCCTAGAAGGATAGAGGCAGTAATTAAAGCCAAGGGAGGTCATACAAAATACTAGAATACCTGGTTATTACTGTAAAATACTTGAGTCAAAAAACTGTCCGCATGAGTCACCATTTTGTGAGCCTTGTATCTCCACCATATCTCCACCGATTCCCACGGTGTAGGGCTCAAATGAAAGCCCTGAAGCCATACTACAATGTGGTATAAGCATGTTTTTGAGGCATTTGTTTGTTCTCACACAATATTATAGATAGTGAAAAATGCCAAAACATACGGACGTTTTTTGAGCCACTGTACAAAACTCCGATGAGTGGTTTAGGTAGTTTCAAAATCTTTATCAGATCCACGCTGACTTGTACTACAGGCTATAAACTACGAATGTAGATCGCCAAAGCACTCAAGACCCAGGCCACTGCAATCCGGATGCCCTCAACCGATATAATAAACATGCCACTGCACTTGACCCTCCTCGGCACCAATTACATGGGAGCAGGTAGTCAAGTTCTTGCAACTCGCTGAATTTGACCGCTTCGAGACACCGGGAACCAGTTGCACAACAAGCATGGTCAATCCCTCGTAATCGTCAAGCATTGGGAAAATACTTGATCTGAACGTTCAAAGGAGGAGATTGTGCGCTGCAATGTAGAGACTCTGTGCCTTCGCACAAAAATTCAAGATGATGCGATTCTTTTCCAGCTGTAATTGAGCAGTGTCGTGAATCTAACCCACCTCTTGCAGCTGAGATACAGCGTCGCTGGTACCATCTGCAATCCGTCAATTTACCACCTCTCCTGCATTGCACAAATTCACGCTCTTCCTGGATTTTCTGGTAGCAGAGCTGTAGGGACTCATGTCGGACAGATGAGTGGTGATGCACAAGCAGAAGGTGACACTGATACACCTAATGAGTTAGAGGATGACAAGCGCGATCCTGATGGCAGGAACAGACATTGATGGAGGACTTCTTTGATCAGTTGCATATTGGATCTGCCGAGACAGAGGAAGACTAGCATAGCTGCATTAGACTCACAGCCCATGTATTAGTAGAATAACGATGTTGATGATGATTCTGACATGGCAAGGAGACAATGGAAATAATTGTTTGACGAAGCCAGACATTTTGCTGCATTGATCACTTACATATTTCGTACTTAATTGACACCGACCTTCGTTCCGCTGCCACATTCACCAATGAACTGGTCCAATAGCGATTTCAATCATGCTCCCACTGTTGATGGCATCCGCAGATTGCTGGAAAACCTATCTCGCCTGCAGAACTTGTAGGCGTCACGGACATGTCTGATCAATGGATATCTGCTCTGATTGCTATGCTAGCTTACGGATTTCACACAATAACAACCACCTCAATGACAACAAAGGCTTTCATCCTTTAATGATCCAACACTAACACCAGCAACTAGCTTTGTTGGGTTGTCGAGTGATGGACAAAACAGGGTGCCTCACGAGAGCGAAGCACACATCTTCTCCATCTGCGCAGACTCATATATGACTGGTAGGTCATGCATCGTGATTTAATGATCCTCAAGTAACTTTTTTTTGGCAGTGTACCGTCCCTCGATTGTCTTTCTGGTGGCACAACTTTGTGTCTACATCATCCAGGTGCAACTGCACACTTTGACCGACATTCATCCTGAAGATCTCAGCACATCACTCTATATTAATCCAAAGCTTCTTGCTCAGCACACAGAATGTCATCAAACCATCGCACACATCACCCAACTCTTCATCGAGGGATGCGCTCTTCCGATTGCACAATCTTTCCATGAAGCTCGACTAGCACATGGATGGAGGCAAAGATCTTCGAAGTCACTCAGTGCAGCATGAGTATGATGCGATTCCCCTCATCCCCTTACCTTCTAATGGCACTCATCTTTCCGACTTTGACATCCTGGGCAACTGTTGGTTGTCTTGACCATATATTTGCCATGAGAGCAACCACTGACTCCATGGTACCATTTTCTTCTATCCCTGAAGGCCATCTGTTCGTTGGATCAATCAGCAAGTCCCTTTATCTAGCCGCACTTCATTGGTTGTGAGAGATAGCACAGATAGATCTCATAAGTCAACTTTATATTGTGCATTTACTTAACTAATTTCACCTGCAGGTTAACCAGTTATGCCACATCACCATCAGACGCAGTTCGCCTCGCTACCCACTTTCACCCTCAATGTATGATGTTATGCACACTAGGGTTAGCCCTCATTTCCCAGGCGAAGTTTTGCCCCATCAACCCCCAATTCAGGCTTCCACCCAATCGTCCGCCACCACCATCTCAGGGCATGACTATAGCTCAAATGCACCAAATCCAGGCTACACCATCCACGCCATCTCGTGCCCATTCTCAGCAGGCCTGAATGTAGCTCGCATTCCATCAAACACATCACATTCTTTCCATGCACACAGATTCCGTCATGCTGGTGTCAACATCAACAACTGGTAGGATCACAAATCAGGTGCCTGGTGGCTCTTCTTCATATCCCTCTCCTGGAAGACCGCTTCAGTCATTCGGACCATCAACTCAACTCACCCTCCAGGCACTTGGGTATGGTGATGTGTTTCTATAAAGTTTGCCGTGATGTTGTTTGACAATTTTGTCACTGAAAATTGGGTATCAGGGCTAGCCAAAAGAGGCTTCACTGATCCAGATCATGCTGAGCAGATCTCCGCTGCCATGTGAGATGATTGTGACGAGTTATGATTGTGCCTGTACTAATTTTTTTGCAATGTAATACCATTCTGTGTGCTGACTTCACAAATTTAATTTTGGTTTCTGAGTACAGCTTGTTTTCTATCCATGATGCATGCTGTCTTCTTGAGCAACAGACGTCGCCTCGTTGCTCGCTGTGGGTGCAAGAAGGCCCCAAAGCTATCCCGAGAAGCTGGCCAGGCTATTACTACCCAACAGCGTGCCAAGTGTGCTGATGAGGATGCTGCGGTGTAGATAAGGTCCTGACCTATATTGATGAACAAGCTACCGAGCTAGCTCAACAGTTTGGTTGAAGTCGCCGACGTTATCTGGAGAATTTTTTTTTATAGCCTCAGCAATGCAAAGAAAACAGCACAATAAGGCCAGTGCCTGGTCCGCGTATCTGCACATCAAAGGTCGAAATTCTAATGAAGGTATGTTCTTCGTGGTGACTAGTATTGAATGAAGTTGTACTAATTGCTTGCAGATAAAGAAGTAGGACCATGAAGCAAACATTCATTCCCTCGCTCGTGACACAGAGGAATACCACAAGCTCACATTGGAGCAACACTCAGAGATGGTAGAGGAATTTAATAAAATCAAGAGCTCTGGACAGAGTAAGCCATCAAATGTCACCCACTCGTACTCGCCTTGCAGAGGTCAATCATAGCTTTGCTGCAATGGTCAGTGAGGTGAGTTCCAACTGGTCCTTACAGTATGTAAAATCTAACTGTTCTCTGACAGGCTGAAGCACTCAAGGAGCGTGTAGGTACTGAAACCTTGATTGTTGCAGTGCGAAGTTCGACCAACCTCAACATGTTGCCCAAAGTCCACTTTACCAGTGATGTGGTGTCCCACTTTTGTCTGCACACTCTTACACGAGGATCCCATGAAATTTGGGATTAAGATGGAATCTACAGTTCTCGCTGGGCTCCAAAACACGAAATGGTGAGATTTTTGAGCCAATGGGTAGTTTCACACTGCTAATCGTAATCATGCTCACTTAGTTTTCTCTATGACTTACACTGATCGCAAACTCACTGCCAAGAGCTCAATTTGAAATGGTTTGAATCAGAGTTTAGGTACGCAAACATTTTATTTATTTACAATCTTCTAATCTACCTAATTAGTTGAGGTGACTGAGGATCAGAACGCAACACTCGAATTTGTCCGCTATGAGCGGATGGTCCAGTCTCATCTCGTCAAAATTGTTGGCTGGTGTTTACGATCACTGGGGTAATCCAAGCAATCTCAAGGGCGGTGTTGATGCCTTGCAGACACTTGCACTTGCAGTCGACAATCAAACATGCCGGTTTGTTAAGATTTTGAAAGATGAAGCCATCAAGCGCTTGGAGCGCATTGATGCTGGTGAAGACTTGTCCCCGAACAAAGTTGACACAGAACCCTACATAAACAACAACAACAACAACAAACAACAACAACAACAAAAACAACAACAACAACAACAACAACAACAACAACAACACAACAACAACAACAGGGACATGGACATTGACATTGACATGGACATTGACATGGACATCTACAACAGCAATGGGAACGGCAACAGCAATGACCAAGACTGAGACAACAATGGCAGTGTGGGCAATAGTGTTCCCACTGGAGAGCCTCGTAGTGAGATAACAGGTGACCTCATTGATCCTGCGCTTCGAGCATGCAGAGGTGAGCATTTCCATGTTGTTGTGAATCCTACTAACTATCTACTTTTTTACAGCTTCTGCGCCGGCTCCATCTGCGCCTGCTCCATCTGTTCCAGCTTTCAACTCAGCACCCGGTAAGGAGGCTCCATGCCCACACCTCCTTCATTCTTCAACAGCCCATACTAACAAGTATCTACTACAGTGACGAATCACAAGCGCGGCGCTCCGGAGCCTTCAACTGATGGAGCGCCGGCAAAGAGAAAGAGAAAGATGACTGAAAAGGCCGTGTATGCAGCAAGGAAGGCACAGACACGGAATAGGAGGGGGAAAGGACCAAAGAGTATGGCTGTTGTGGATTCTAGTGACTTGGATGAGAATGAGTGGGAGGACCTTTAGAATGAGAATGGCTACTACAGCGCAGGCTTTTCCCTACATACTTGTTCACTTTCTGGCCTTGTTTTTATGCTGTACACACCACTTTTAATACATGGTTTTGATGTATGCAATTAATTTAGGAGGATGACAAAAAATGCGCCCTTAAACAACTAAAATTGAGGCAGGTAGTGAGCTTGTCATGGGAGACAGCGAGCTCGTTGTTGACGACAACGGCGGTGGGTGTGGTACTACCATACTTAGACATTACTCACTTGCTCACATGCTCCCTATACCACAGTATAATATTGAAGGCTCTAAGTCCCCTTAGGATGCTGGTCTGGACCACCGGTCCTCACAAATAGGCCTTTTTAAGCTAACGTAGTGGCACGTAAACATCTTAGGTACCACTTTATCAAGTAAGAAAGGTGGGAACAATAGGTGCTATTAGCCATAAATCCTTATATATCTTCTTCTGTTATAGTCCGCTGCCCATGGAGGATGTATCCTGGTTCTCTGGGATGTATCCTACTATTTCTGGGATTACAAATCTTCATGCCACTGGGGGTTGAATACCTCAAACCATTGACCATAATGGGGACAGCTGTTCAATGTGCCAGGTGCCTGAGGCTTGCCATTGCTGTGGGGCATGCAATATTGGGGGGCTGTATGAGTATGTAGAATAGTTGAAGGGATCTGCATTCATGTCATATGAAGAGAGCATGACAGTGCACTTAATTGAAAATAAGGCACCCAGGTTCCAGAAGGACTTGAACAATGTTAACTCATCCCAGAACAGTGTCAGCAGAAAAATGATTATTGTTAACATTTGAATACATGCATTGTGATTGAGCAATAAATGACTTTGCTGAAGACTTCAGGACAGACAAATATCCCTGTGAAAATGAAAACAAGATGGCTAGAGCATGAGAGTGTGACACAGGGTAATCCGGTAATTCCTACAACTTTAAGTACAACATAGATGAAAGAGAATTACCTGAAGAACTGTATGATATCAAAACAATGCAACATAGAACTACACACCAATATGAATGAAAACCATCCACTGCTTGAGTGGAACTTTTGTCTTCATGGCATTTGTAACATGCATCAGCAAATTAGCATTTTCACCACAGGTCTCACAGGCCTCACAAGGTTTCACGTATTCCTATCTCTTGCTAACTAGAGTTTAAAAGTCTGGTTGCAAAACCCGAAAAAGACCAAAACTGGACCAAAACTGGACTGCAAAAGACTGGACTGCAGTTGCGGTTTTCTTGCTCCAAGAAAAGTCCAGTTGCAGTCTTTTTGTTTCAAGAAAAAAAGAAAGACCGATCCAGGACCAGTTTGGACTGGTCTTTTTGCAACCGGTTGCTTGTGGGAATGTAGTACTTAATCAGGGGATTCCAATGGTGGTTTGGTCATGTCAAACGGTGTCATGCATGGTATGCAACTCATACCATGACAGATACACAAGAGGTGTGATAAGGAAGGTATAATAGACCCTACTGTATCCTATCACCAAGTTACCCCATCATTTCCCCCTTAGTTATTAGCTAGTATTTTCACTTTCAATCTTCACTTCCATTTTTCCATGTATTTCTAATTTGTTCTATGGCATTCCATCTCTTCTATTTTCCTCAGGCATATTCAGCCAACAGACTTTCTTTTCAGCCACCAAGCATGTTTGTAAGCATGTCATGTGACTGGTAGATATCATGATTTGTAAAGATTGAGCTTGACTCATCATGTTTTGTCATGATTTGTCATGCTTTGTAAGATTTCTAACTGTATTTATAAGCTACTCAGTAAGAAGGCTGATTCAGCACACCAAATGGCATTGTTAGTAAGCACATCTTTACCAATCCATGTGATGACTCATGCCATGATTCGTCATGCTTTGTAAACTACACTGTATTTATAATGTAAATTAGTAAACAGGCTGGCTCAACACACCAAATGGCATTGTTAGTAAGCACATTCTTACCAATCCATGTGATAATTCATGCTTTGTAATCAGGGCCTCCAAAAGGTATATAAGGAGCCCAATTTTGCCATGTAATAAATGGAGCACTTCCCACCTCCACTCATCTCAAACAGTGTGAGATTAAGTAAGAACCTAAGTACAGGCAAATCATTAGCCTCAAAGTAAGACTAAGAATCATTTATTCAATTATATACTACCTTACAGGGGTTGATTATATAATCTATCAGCTATTCTAACTAAGTTTAACCCATACTATTTTCCTCTCTCTTTTACAGGAAGGGAGACACGATTCATGCTACACATTTCACGCTACACAATACACAAGCACACTAACTCTCAGACACAATTCATACCATAGACTCAGTATACAGCATCAAATTGTTTTAAACTAACCAAGGAACAAATAAAGAAGGTATATTGAAATAAATCCTCCCAAGAACTCACACATTATCTACCACGAAAACTAGAAAAGTTGTAGACTGTGTACTTAAGGACTGGCAATAAGTCTTATCCTATATAGTTGTGTTGTCACTATATAAGCGGCGTACATAAGACCCTTAAGTAAGAGGACAACGGTTAAGATCTGAAAAAGATATGAGCATTACAGGGAAGGCTTGCAAATTGAAGGATGTTGGCATAAAAATTAAAGATTGGCTTATAACTTACCCAAACCTTGAGTGTTTGACAAGATAAGACTAGCAATGGAGTCATTTAGACTAGGACTACAATTAGTGTTGGGACACCTAAGCCTTATGATGACTTTCATATTTTTCATATTTCAAAGATGAGCCTGATAACGATTTTTGTTAAGCTTATACCTTGCTTATGTGTGAACCTATTGAAAAGATAAGACCAGTCCTAGACTCGTCTAGACTTCCAGTACAACTTTTGTTAAGCCACTTAAGCAATCACAACACATTTCATATTTGCCTCATGCTCTAGGGCAGTGTATTCTTAAAATGCTCATATCTCTCTCAAATCTTAACTGTTTTACATGATCAAACCCACCGTTGGAAAGGTCCTGAATGGTACTACACTATCATTGGACCAGTTGCAGGACTGAAGAAGACCAAAATGTCGGTCTTTATCAGTCCAGGTCCAGTCTTTTTGATATCATAGGAATCTGGCAACCAGTCCTGGTCCGGTGTGGTGTTTAAGCTCGGGCTAGCCTCGCAGAACCCCATTTCACTATAGGAGTCAAGCAGCCTAGATATCCACATCACATCCATACACCACTTCCTTGCAAAGTCTCGACCCACTCGACTCACCTATGTCGCGCCGGTCTATGTCCGACTCGGCCGATACGGTGTAGAGACTCGCATTTCTGTGGGCTCATATGGGCTCATTTTACAAATTCTGACAACTGGCCTTCATGGCACAACTTGCACCATCATCCACTATGACTTCCCTATAGAGCGCACCACTTTCCCGCGAAACGCGCCATAGGCACGATACTTTCCCGCACAACGCGCAGTATTCCTGCGTGCGCGCCTTGCGTGCTTTCTCACGCTTAAGCGCCCTGCGCCGCGCATCATCCAGGAGCATCCATCCATCGTCCAACTAGTCCTTGGTATGTCCCTTTTTGTTATCTGACAATATTTAGCATATTACACTTCCTATTTCGTTATGGACCCTTACTTTACATCACTTTACCTCACTTACATACTTAGAGTGCTCCCTATTTGGCTCCGAGCCCTGGGAGAGCGCTTAGGTAGAACTTACATACTTTCATGTTCGTTTTACACCCATATATTCCACCTTAGCTTCCTACCACTCAGTATCTATCACCAGTTAGTTCCATGCAATGCATGCGTCCATCATCGTCTTGAGGCCCTAGCATCAGTCTATAGCTAGTGGCACTACCAGTATCCATCTAGATCCGTGCTTTTCCTCTTATCAGTCTCAGTATACATCTTTTACACCTGTGCACCGCTTGCACTACCTTCCCGCACTCTGTGCACTTTCGCACTTCGCTTTCCCGCGCGCATTTTCTCGCGCTTTCACCGCCATTCACCAGGGTTGATCAGCATCATTCCGTGGATCCTTGCTTTCCTTGCTTCCCCTTTAGGGTCGAACGTTCTTGCATTCTGCGAGTATAGCAGCTAGGCAGAGCTGAGACTCACTTATACTGGCTGAGCACTTTTCTTATATGTGCCTGCCAGGTTGTGATACCCACAATGGATCCGTGGCCTCGGTCTCTCACAGAAGAGCCAGGGTTGTCTTAACCGTCCCTTGCTCGTCGGATCGGCCATCGCGCACCTCGGCCGACCGTTCCGTCCCATCGTGTTAAGACCGTACTCAAGTAGTATCGGATCCGAAGGGCTTCGGCCTCAGCTCGTGCGCTGTGCCCCTTTCCCGAGTCTTGCCCCTTATTTCAGAGAGCTAAAGTATCGCGTGTATAGAGTAACGGCCAATCCGGATCGGATCCGGATTAGAAACTAACGGGTGAGGACTGTCCGAAGACAGAGGCGGATATGTAGACTATAGGAATCTATCCTAAGTCTCGGAGTTGACAAGAGTAGCGTACTCAAGTCCGGATGGATAACGGAGGGACTCAGAGTCCAGACGG